CAATGCCATTGCCTACCTGTGCCCTTGAATGTTTGTAATGAAATGAGGCTGTACCGTAGGCCTGTAAAAGCTGATGGATTTGATTACAATGATAGGATAGACAGAAGCATCCCTGCTGTAAGGAACATCTATTATGTTACTGATAAAACACAAATATGTATTTTTTTTTAATGCTGGGTGCTTCTGAATCACCACGTATTGCCCTTTTTTTTTTTTTTCTTTGTCTTCCTTTCTTCATGTCTTGTCAATTGATGCTAGGATGTCCTCTGGTTTTGTCAAGGGCGAGTTTCTTCCATCTGTGCTCCTAGCCCCAGTCACAACCTGAGGGATGTTGTTAAGGTGGGCTGTACTGCAGGCTGCCTTTACAGCATCATTCCTGCCTGTCTGCATTGTCAGTGTGCTGCCGCCTGCCTGCATTTCAGAACAGAAATCAAAAACACTGTGGAACAAAATTGCACTTGATTAAAAAGCAGGAGCCACTTTGGAAAGCCTACGTTTTTGCATGGGGTAGGCAGTATGCTGTAAAGACTTATCACTGTGACTCTTCCTGAATGTCTCAGCTTAATGATCTACACGCTATAGCTTCAGCCTGGCAGCATCTGTTCAATTAATTTGTGCGTGAAAGTGGGAAAGCGTTCTCATCTGCCACGTGTTTCACCATTTCTTAAAAAGCAGAGCCTGTTTCCATCTTGGAATAAGTGAAGCGGTGTGCTGGAGGGCACGACAGGGTGGTCGTGTTGAACAGACATTCCCTGAAGCAGTGTGGAAGTTCTGTCCTGATAGGGAGCCAAAGGGTAGCCCTGCAAGTGGTGCTTTCTCATAAACTCTTTGAGAACAGGTCTTAAATTACTCCAAAGGGCTCTTCAGGATTGCTCACAGTGGCTGAGATCTGTTCTAGCTTTTGTTTGCATGGACAAACACCTGCTCAGCTAATTTTGAGTGTTTCTTCCTCTCTCTAGCTTCCCAAACCTAAAGTTTTGCTTCTCCCAATTGAAGCTTTCTGTATCTAAGGGTTAGAGGTGACATTTTGCAACTTCTGATATTCTGTCAGTACCTTAGTTTGATTGATTTAAACAGTGAGCTGTGTTCTTGTGGGCATCTCAGGGTAGTATTAATATACCGCCTGGTAAGCAGTGAGGAAAAAGAACAATAAAGTGTCAGTGTTTTTTTATTGTGCACAGCATTAGCTGTACTGATCCGATGGGACGAGGCTCTTTGTGGCACAGAGCTGGGGTGATGCTGCCCGTTGCTGCCTCTGCTGTTGGGAAGCAGGGCTGGGATGTGTCAGGCCTGGTGCCTGAGAGGCTGTCTGAGGGTCAGCCCAGCCAAAGCCTTGACCCAAAACATCTGGGTTCCTGTGCATGCCCTCAGTGCACTACTGCTTTCTGGCCTTGGTTGTTCTGTCTTTCAGTCTTACTAGCATGCCTTTGATTTCACCCTTGTCCCAGATTTCCATTTGGATCAAGTGCTTTTGCAGATGATACTCAGAAGTGCTTCGGTGGGTCAGAGAAGGTCTGCACAAACTCGGTGCTGCTGTTGCTGCTTTCTGCACGTCTTGGCGTCCCCTGACAACCTGCTCAGAGCTTGTGGCTAACAGATGATAAAACGGCTGCTCATCAAGCTGGTGCTGTCTGCAGGTTAATCATCACCTGAGCTGCTGTGAGCAATCCTTGATGTGGGACATGTGTATCACGCCGTGTGTACTCTGTTCTTTTGGGCACACGTTTGCCTTTGGTCCATAGGGGGGAAGCCCCTGTTCCCAGCTACCTCATTTTTTTTTCCTGCACTTTGTCATATCCTCTTCTTTTCTTTCATTGCATTTTGTCCTTCAGTGAAAACCTGGACCCAAACATGAAGCAGGGCAGAGTGATGCCGTTGTCCAAGGACAGTTTACTTTAATTTCATTTTAAATGCATGTTTCTGTAACGAAAAGACCAAGGTTGACCTGCAGCTGCTGTAAAAGTAAATCAAAATTATGACTTGAAAGTAACTATTATACTTGTAAATGAGAGAAGCAATTGAAAGACTGACCTGGTGATTTTTATAAAGAGAAAACTCAAAATAGGGATGTCAGCTGTTTCTAAAGGCGGATCGGGTTTTTGCTCTGCCTCTGTTCTGTGCTGATTTGCCTCTGAGCTGGAGCCTCTGTTTTCCTAACAGATTCACAGTTTGTTCTGTAATGCGAAATGTGGGCTTACATGGGGTTTCCCATTTACTGATCCGCAGAGAAAAGCTGCCCAAATGAACACCAACCTGCCATACCTGGGGTTGTATTTTTATCCTTTTCTTTGGGACCTTCAAGCATGTGGGTTTTTGCTTAGCTTGAAGAATTTTAGGGGAAAAAAGCTTCTCTCCCTTCCCTCTTTTTGCCTCTGCAGGTGCTGCTTTAACATACTTTTGATTTCGTTATGCTGTGCTTGGCTCCACAAAGCAACAATGTAAGCTGATTTCAGCTTTTGTTTGTGCTTTTACTGTTTGTGTGTACTCAGTGCTTTCTTAACAAATAATCCGTTTTCATTAGACAGCTTCCTAACAGCAAAAGGCCTTAATAATGCAAGGTGCAATGGGAAAGTGCTGCCTTTCCTTCCTTTCTGTCGAGACAAAAGGAAGGAATGCTGCACAGGAACTCTTCTGCAGAAACGTTTCGTGGCAGCTCATCCTAACATTGAGGTGAATGTAGCAAGTGTGGTACTGGGCACGCACAAATAGGCTGAAAGAAGGGGCTGCTGGTGCTTCTGCTGACTGTACCAAGCAGGAGGCTCTGGAATTAGCAGCTTGGCACTGCGGTGGCTGTTCAGTGAATTACAGCGCCCTCATGTCATGGGAGGATGGAAAGGCTTTTGGGCTGTGTTAGCAGAGATCCAAGGAGTTCTTAGTGCACTGAGATCTGAAAGCTTGGAGGCTCTGGAACCTTTTCTACAGGGTGGATGAGTACAGATCTCAATAGCCTGGGAATGCCTGGCTCCTGGTTTTTTTCTTTTTCTTTAATTAAATAAACAAACGTGTAATTGCTTCCCTCTTTGTATACTTAGCATTTAATGGCCTGAAGCAGCAGCCTTGACAGTTTGAGATTTTTCTTTTGAAGGCGAAATTAAAACAAAGTACCATTATTCAGATGAGTGCTCTGCCTTCAGAGTTTTGCCTCTGTATGTTGCTTTATTGAGTCCTAGGAATCTTGCAGGATTGGACTAACAAATTAAAATGCACAGGTGAATGCTGACTAATGTATTCAGTATAATTTTGTACTATGAAAATATGTTTATTTTAGCATAGGAGAATGAAATAACCGCCTTGATTAACAGCTAATGATACCTGTATTCCATGAGCCAGGCAATAGGAGGACGATGGGGTGTCATGCCGTTCCAAGCACTCTGCTGCTGCTCGTGAAGGCTCAGCCTTCTGTCAGATGTAAGATATTAGTGACTGCCAGGATATGGTCAGAATTTATTGTTGCCTTTTCTACAGAAATGTCAGTGTGTTGTGGTAGAAACTCTCACTTTTGTTGGTTGCCATTGCTGGCATGCAGTGGGACAGCTCGATTTACTGCCGTCATCCAGCTGTCACGCTTTGACTACTGTGCGATGGGTGTTTGCTGTTACAGGCTTTCTATATGCATGTGTTCTCTGTGTCTTTCTGTCCTGTGTGGGAATGAGCTTTTGCTTTTTTTGTTGTTTGTTTTTTTGACGTGCCTATCCCCAAATCTTTGCGTTACCTCAAAAACGAACCCAGTCATTGCTGAGGGCCAGGCCTTGGGATGCTCTGACCTGAGCGTGCAGTGTCTCTTCTGTGAAAAAGTGGGGAAAAATAAGAAGTGCTCTTTGGCTTCAGTCAAACTATGCAACATAGAGCCCCAGAGAGCGGGATTCCTGCTGGTACAGAAGAAGCACGGCTCTTGTGTCCTTCCTAACCCAGTCCTTGGTCCAAGGTTAGAAGAACTTGTACTAAATGGCTGCCCAAGAATTCTTTGTCGCAATCAACTTGTGTGCTCTGGTTTTCCTCCTTCTCCCCTGCCTCTCTCTGTCTGGTTTGCTGGATGTTCCGAGTCTGAATGGCATGGTGTCACAGTGTACCCCCCTGTCAGTCTCTTGTTGTTGCAGTTGGAGCTTGTCTTGTAAATCCACCAGTGCAGCTCACCCACTTGGGTCAGTTGGGGCCACTTCACAGTGTTTGCATCTCTTTGCTGTAGGATTTTTGGTGTGCTGCACACTCCAGGTAGGTCTGACTTGCTCACGTCCCCCATGTTGTCCTGTTGTGGCGCTGGTGCTTACAGTGACAAATACCTGTCACGTCTCAAATCCAGTTGTTTTGTTTCCACTGCTTGTTGCATGTATGTGCGCGTTTGATTTTGCTGCTTCCATCACCGTTCAGGGATAAATGCTCATGTGGCCAGCACTGTTGAAAATCCTTTGTTCTCCCATTGCATCCGTTTTCCAGTGCAGGTTGTTCCTTGTGTTCCTCTTCTTGCCCCTGTTCAATCTGTGTGCTGTTCCCCTGGTCCTGTGTCCCACGAGTCGCTCGTCTCTGTCATGTCCTCTCACCTCTACATGCCTCCTTCTGAGCAGCTCACTTACACGTGGCATTTACTCACCCCATGGTACCTCGTACTGCGTCTCCTTCCTAACTCCACTTACTGTTTTGTCTCTTTAATTCAGGTTGACCTTTATTTATTTTCCCTAATTTCCATCTCTTCCGTAACTTGGGAAACAGCAAATCTCCCTTCAGACATCTGTGTATATTCCCTCCTAGCACATACGGTGCGAGGGGTCCACGACCTCTCCGTCCCTAACCCCAGGCTCTTCATAGCACTAGGAAGTACCAAGTCTGAAGGTGGTGTTTTATTTCTTTGGGTAATTGAGAATATGTGGCAATTTTCTTCTTTGGAAGCAGCCAACGCGGTGAGCAGTTGGTCTGCGAGAAGTTCGTTATACTCAGTATTCTTAATTGAGAAACAAATTATTTATTTTGGGGAAAAACTGTAAATTTTTTTGTATTTGTATGTCAAAGTGGCCTTTATAGGAAAAGCACATAAAATATTTAGATTAAAATTGTTTAGTTGTGTAATTTTAGTGGGGATTTTTATATTGACAGGGTTTCTATGCATTTTTCAAAATCTATTTGCTGTTCTGTGTTAAAATTATTGGAAATGTTTTTAAAATGTGCATTACCACATTTTCCATGGTTGATCCCTTCGCAACCATTCCTTTTAAATACTGCAAAAACTTTAATTAACCCTGTGAATTAATTTTTCCCCCGTAACTATTTGCATTAAGTCAATGTAAGGAGTTACAGCATGAGTATGTAGCTGTAAGGGAATAATCCCAGTAATGTAGCTTAATTGTGGAGAGACTTTTGTGAGAAGGGCAGTATGCAGTGTTTCAATTGCACTTAAAAGGCTAAGTTAGCAAATCGAGTTCTTGCTGTACCTCACTCATGCTTTTTTAATATTATTTTTCCATCCTATAGTGTTTACATAAGCATCATTACATATGTGCTATTTTATGCAGTATGCAATTCTCCTTCATTTTGTTGGGATAAAACTGATGTTACCAGATAGGAACAAGTTCTGAATGCGTGTGGTATCCTAATGGATCTGATGTGAGCTTGGGGGAGGGAGAAGGCCAAAACAGGTCTGTCGGTCTGTGGTTTCCATTTGGACACGTGCACATTTTCACTGAAGCTGAAATAATGAAACTTATGATGGGATTGCAAGTAATGTTTGTGCATTGGGGGGGGAGGGTAGGGGACAAGCGAGGGGCAGAAATACCTGCTGAGTTGTGCTGCGGCGCGTTGCAGTGGCCTCGCTGCCTGTGCAGCTCTGGCCTGAGCTGGGTATGTCAGACCCTCCCGTTAGTGCTCTGATTTTACTTTCTGTTCTCGAGGTGTGATTGTAAGGTTTGCTAAGTCGGAACTTCCTGGGGATGGTTGTCAGCTGACGCCTCCATTCCATCATTCTCAGTATGCCTTTTGATTTTTGCTCAGTGCAGTTTAATGAGAGGTGCCACGTTGCTCATAGGCGAGCATAAGTGCAAGCTTCTGGGCAAACAAACACTGCATGCTACTGTATGTTTTCATAATTGGAAAAAAAATGTGCAATTTTGATGGCACTTTGACCTGTTGCTGAAACGCTGGGTCTTGAAATGGAACAGACAGCAATTGAAAACACTCTGTGTCTGTTAGATGTCATGAAGATGAAAAAAAGGCAGTTCCTCAAGTTGTACCCACAGATCATTCGGTATTGATTTTGGTTTTTAAGAGACTTATGATTTGTTCTTACAAAAAGCAAACGCAATAAACATGCTTATTGGTTTACTTTAGTTGCCATAAATTGCCCAGTGCAGAGTCTGGCCCACCTCCACCCGTTTGTTTTCATGGAGTGGTCGCAGTAAAGCTGTAACAGAAGCAGAAAGCTGTTTGCTTACACACCCGTAACACGACTTGCAGAACGGCTTTGTGGCTCAAACACACAAAAAGGGAGGTGAGAATTTCCCTGGATGAAGTAGCACTCGCTTTGTTTACGTGTTGGGTATAATGTTGGGTGACTAAAGGGAGGTTCCCTTCTTCAAGTGTTTGAATTGTGCTTTGGAGACTTAGTGGCCACTGTGCAAATTGTGCTGTAATATTGTACCAAGGATCAGTGGAAGTGTTTTATCTTTTTTAATGTCGTTTGTATTTGACCGGGTTTTATAAATGTAAGAAAACAGAGTGCTGTATTTTGATCTGAAATTTGCGTATGGTAAAGTAACTTTGCTTTATGTATTGGAGGTTTGTTCAGAACTTGAATTATTTTCTAGAAGGGTACAGACCAAAATTAATTGTCTTAAAGGTGTTTAATAAACTAACCAAATAAAACATTGATGGTTTGAAAACTTGTCAACTGCTCATATGATTTTTTTTTTTTTTCTTTCTGTTTTTAAAAGAAAGGAAAAACGTGGTTCAGGATTGTCTCTCAAGGTCTTACAAGGAATGAAAGAAATGCAGTAGATTTGATAAATATCCTCCATCTCCCATGAGTTAGCTGTTTTATTATGGAGCTGCTACATACCAGAAATTTAATCAAAGAGGAAAACCCACAGGAAATAGATGAATGAGGAAAGGTGAAGGAACTAAAGTGAGAGGTGGCAGTGCTCCCTCTCGGGCTCTGTGAGGGCAGTGAGTGCTGGTGACAGCAAGTCCTGATGGCCGTTCCAGGGGCAGCGTCTGAGGGCAGAGGCTTCTGCTCACCTGTAAAAGCTTGGACAATTGCTTGAAGGTCTTCATCCTCCCCTGCAGTCGCCTTTGTTAGCCTTCTTCAAGCACTGCTGCTTTCATGAGACCTTTGAAAACAGAGGAGGAAAATATTTGAAGCAGAACAGCTCCCAAGGACAGGTACAGAGTGCTCGTTCCAGGGCTGCCAGATACTCAGCAGCCATCAGTTGCACTATGGCATGTGTACGTAAACTCGTGGAGCCCAGGGAGCTGAGCTCTATGAGATGTCAAACGGCTTCCTGGAGCAAAGGCTGTGGGCTGAGCAAGAGGGGCACAGCTGTGGGGGCTACGAGTGGGAGTACAACAGGAGCAGGGAACTCAGCACTGCCGTGATGTTCGTCTTCAGGAGAACTCACGACTTCACCAAGAGCTCCACCTGCTTTTTCTTAAATGAAGGGACATGGAGGTAAGGTCAAACATGAGGTAGGTGGGATACGAAATCCGAGGTGTGGGGCTGGCTGAGGGAAGTGAGAAGGCTCCAGAACACTGCAGAAATGGGTGCTGTACAGGCTAAAAGGTGATGGTGTAGGATAGGAAGGAAAGGTAGCTATGTCTGCTCTGTGGAAGCCTCCGTCTGTTGTGCAAGAGCTGTGCCGAAGTGAAGCACAGGTCCTGGACTGCCAGCCACACTGGTGCAGAGCCCAAGGCCTCCAGTTCAAATGTGATAGGGAAGCTGGTGTTGGTTTACTACTTTTGCTGGTGTTTGCGTGGTTGTGGCTGTGCAGATGGGCTCTGCCATATCTCCTCTGTCTTACTGATTCTTGGAAACAGAGGAGGGTGAACTTGGATTCCACAGCCTGGAATGCTGTCTGGGGGAAGAAGGCTGCTGCTTGATTTCCTTTAATTTCTGTGCACAGTGCAAATATGAGATGAAATTTCTCTTTATCCCCCTGAACTTTCTTCCTAAAATAACACAAAACAAATCCAGAAAAACTTCCTTTATCAAAATGTTCTCCAAATATTTAGCTGAAGTTGCCAGTGCAGGGGAATGAGGCCTCTGTACTTCCTCACCTACAAAACGTGTCACAACAGGACCTGGGACTTCGTGATGCAATCCCTCAGGAAAGGTCTGATGCCCACAGTTGTTTGAGAGTAGTTGACAGAAAGGAGCTTTTACCCTGACCTGGGAAGGCTGCATCTCACTGGCTTTCTCCTGGCAGGAGTGTGCTAGGGGACATGGCACAGCCAGCAAGAGCGGCTGCAATCTGAGCTGCTGGGGAGACACCGGGGAAGGAGGCAGCCTTGGGTTTGCAGTGCTGGGCTCTGTGTCACTAAGGTGCCATCTGTGTTCTTTGCAGAGCCCAGCCGTCAGAGCAGGTTTCCACCAGGCCAAGGTTTCCAGGTGAAGAAGAGAGAGGTGTTGTGGGGAGGAAGAGCACCCAGCTGGCAGCGCAGTGTTTTGCAGAGCAGGTAGCTGGCTCCTGTTCTCAAGCAACTCAGATCAAGCAAAGAAGCCCCGCTTCTTGCTAAGCTGTTTCTAATTCGGCCCTTTGGCACGATGACCACTGGAAACTGTCAAACTAACTGAAGAATGAATTGCTGTTCAAAATTTGTATCCTTCACCTTTTGTCCGGAAGCTGCTGCAAAGTCAGTCAGAACAAATGCAGATTCCATAGGGAAGGGAGCAGGTAACTCGGAATGAGTGGCGTGGACAGATTGTGGCTGCTGCTCCAGGTGAAGGCAACGGCCACTGGATCAGACCTGTTATTTTTACTTTTTCTCCAGTGTGTTTGGACTTGTGCAAGCTGGGCTCTGTCACATGTGGTCTCCGAGGAATTGTGAACCCCAACACTGTGGGCCGGGCTGAAGGAGTTGGCTGATGGGGAATTTACGGTAAGAGCAAATGTATTTTTAACCACCAGGATATGCTTATCGTCAGGAAAGGGCAAGCAGCACTCCTATCTCTCCAGGGAAGGGGAAGTGTTGAGCGTGGCTTTAGTTTTTTCCAACTCTTTCCAAACTCTGAAAGGTTTTTTCTTCCTGAGACGTGTTGTCGGATTAAATCGGGGAGTTAAATAGACATGAGTCTTGGGTCACAGGTGAAAAATGCTAAATGCCAGGCATGCAGTGTTTTTCCATTGCATATAACATGTTTTTATCCCTTTTGTGTTCAGGAAAGACCTTCGGAAAGACTGCTTTGAAACTGATTTTTTTTTTTTTTTTTTTAAACACACTGAGTGTCTGTCCAGAAGATTTTCATTTTTTAGGGCAACTTTGATGTTTTCTGTCTCAGAGAGGGAAAAAAACTGCCCTCCTTGCAGCCTTCCACCCCACCCCACTGTCTCTGCAGAAGCAGTGCACCAGGCAGCCATGATTTCAAGCTGCTTTTTGGCTCGGTCGCTTGACCAGAGCGGGGCTGCCTGTGCTGCCCTCACTGCTGCTGCCTGTGCTGCCCTCACTGCTGCTGCCTGTGCCCTGTCCCGTGGGCTGTGGCCCTGTGTTTGAGCTTTGCCACCCGGGAAAGCAGCAGCTGTGTGCAGGTGGCTGTGCTTGGCTGCCTTCTTACCTGCACGCAGGGACACGTGGCCCAGCTCGGGGCTCATCTCCCAGCAGTGGGGCTCTGTCGTTTCCCACTGGCTGCGTTGCTCTCACCAGCCCTAATCCTGCCTCAGGAGTAGGAAAGCCTTTAACACACCGTGTAATTTTCTGGCAAGACAGATGACAATAATGATCCCTTTCAGGGCACCTGGGCAGGAGGGGTTTTGCTGATGCTATAAATACATCAGGTTGGGGTAGGAGTCACAAAAGGAAGGCAGGCTTTGAAGTGCTAAATGCTGCCTGCCTACCAGGTGCCTTGTGCTGCTGCTGTCTGTGCTAAGCAATGCTGCCTGCCTCCATGGGGGAGAAATCCAGTCTCATCTCCTGCAATCTGCAGCCTTCATCAGCTGCAAGTCCTCCTCCCATCCCACTTCCAGCCATTCTACAGCATCCCCTTCTTGTTTAGGGGAGGCTCAGGTTCGTTATTAACAAAAATTTCTCTGAAAGAGCGATGATGCAGTGGCACAGCTGCCCAGGCAGATCGTGGAGTCACCGCCCTGGGAAGTGTTAAAGAGCCATGGGGATGTGGCACAGGGGGATGTGGGCAGGTAGGGGTGGGTTGATGGTTGGGCTTGGTGAACTTAGTGGTCCTTTCTAATCTTAATGAATCTATGACAAGAGAGAGTGCTGACAGTGGCCTGTGCAGTGAAATGGAAGGATGACCTATAGCCTGCTGTCAGCGCCAAACTTGGTTTCACCTTTGTTTTTCCTTCACGTGTTGACCTCACAGGGACAGGGAGGGCTGTGCTGCTGCTTGTGAGCAAGTCCTGGAGTGTCTTTGGCCTTCATCTCTTGCTTGTAATACATTTGCGTTGGAGGATCCCTTCAATAGGCAAAGGGCCTGGACACCAGGCGGGGCTGTTCTCTCAGTGCAAGTCTCACTAGACAGCAGTTGAATCTTCTTTTTCATTGGTTTAGTTGCCCTTTCAGTTCCCCATCCTACTGAATAATGCCGCAGAATCCATTTTCTGTCTCTCAGCCCATCTCTTTGTTTCAGTTATGCCTGTGCTGCTCCCCTTGCTGCTGTAGTGCGAAATGTTCAGGGAATAATGCAAAATTCCCTCATCTGAAAGTCTCATACCACATCTTAGAGCTTGCCATGAGGCACAGAACATTCCTGGTTCTACCTGCTTTGAAGAGGAAAGGAAAACTGCAAGCACAATGCTGTCTGGTCTCAGCAGAAGCTTTGGAGACCAGCCTGTTTTCATGGAAATGGGGTTGTTGCTATTAGTTTGGTTTTATGTCAGGACTTGAGTGATTCCTAAATCGCTCTTCTTTTCATAAAGCGGTTTGTGAATCACACACATGAAGTGACAGAGTAAGCAAATCCTGCTTCCCTTTGATGCACGGTCACCAAACCTTCTCATTTTTTACTAACTGTTCCCTGGAATTTTCTGGCTTATTATTAATATTTCAAGGAAAGTTATTAAAAAATAACACTACTACCTTGTTTTCGTGTTTAAAGAGAACAAGCAAGTTGTGTAAGCTAAAATGAAAACAAAACTGGTTTGCAGCTGAATAATTGTGTAACCTGCATGTTAAGAAATGAGATGAGGAAAGGGCTGAGGAGAAACAGGCCGGCGTGAACCCTGCAGGTGCAGGGCATTGGCTGGGTTAAGCAGTCGCAGCTCAGTGCTGCACTCACTGCAGCGTGGTTTGGTAACAACGTTACGCCATCGTAGTGCTTCTCCCAAGTTGGGCAGGAGGCTCTGAGTGCAGAAATGTCCCATCTGTCTCCAGTCAGACGTGTGACGTCAAAACCAAGATCCCCACTACTTGACAACTTTTCTATCCTTGCAGAATGGTGCTTTATACCCTGCAGGTATTGGGCTGCTGAATGATGCAGAAAGAAATCACTACATTTCTCTTTACCCGCTTTACCCAGATCTTTCTGGACTTTTATTTTTCCCTTTTTCCCTTAAGCTGTCCTGATCAGTGGTGCAATTGCATTGGCACTGGCTCTTGCTTTGAGATGGGAGAGGCTCTTCAGATTTGCACTTTGTTGTACACAAATGTAGTGTTATAAAGGCCCTACAGGTTCATGTTTTCTTGCCTTATTAGCTGCTGTGAACAGTTTGGGGGTAGCACAGCTATTGCCTAATTTAGCTTTGAGTTTGAAAAGGAAGGTATAGCATTATCCTGAATGTTTTGCTATCTGTAGAAGTGACTTCAGCTGAAGTCTTTGCTTTTTCCGTAGTTCCGTGTTGAGACAACATCTTCTTGCAGGATTTCTCTGGGACATTCAGTTCTGTGGATGTGGTCTGGATTTGTGATTAAGTAAATCAATGTCTTTTCTCCGTGATTGAATTCAACTCGGTTATCTGAGTTGAGGAGCATCAGAATAGTGTGGTTTAACTGAGAGAGCTGCCATCATCACAGCTGCAGGCATCTGCACCTTGTGCTCCTTTCTACAGAAGTGGACTCTTCCCTAAAAGTTCACACTGTTTCCAGCACACAATGCAACCATTGCTCTTGGGTCTGACCCTGGGTTTCACATGTGGAAATAGCATTAAATTTGCAAAGCAAAAAA